CATCTCACTCCACAACAAGAAGCATGTCAGTGTGGATGCTGCTCCACGCGTTGTGTCGCGTCAAAGCAGCAGCTCTGGTTACTTCAGCACCAAATGATCTTTCACGCTGGAGAGAAGCAACCCAGCCGCTGTTCCGAGGGGGGGCACATTTTGCTCCAACGGTTGTGTTTTTGTTCAGTTCACTGAGCTGACATGCTGTTACAAGCTCCCACTGCCTGCTCCATGTATTACCCCATACTACCCCCATTATCCCACCCCCCCAAGTCAGCAACTCCAGGATATTTGTGTCCTTTCAGGGACAGTGTTGGCGATCTGCGTATGGCTGCGTCATCATCCGTTAGGGAGCCTCCGAGGCTGTCATGCAGATCATGGGCCATGCTGGGGATTTGGGGAAACTCCTGCCTGCTGTGCCAAATTAAGCCTTCACCCTGACATTAAAAACAGCATACTGGGTAGCGCACATTGCCACTTTAAAATACATGGGACAGAAATGCCACGGGGATGCGTTGGTGTTAACATTAAGGCGAGCAAGCGTGACGCAGACGTAAGCTACATTTCCAAGACAAAAATGTCAAACAGAGTGCTGCAACGCAGGCCCTTGAGAGCCCGAGGGCCGCGTGAGAGAGGGATTTGATGAATTCTGCGAACGTTCCACAGATTCCTCCCTCACGGGGACCTTTGGGAAAAGAATGGGTCATATGCAAATGGCATGCACAGTATGGAGGAGAAGTTTCCCACAAGCCGAGTGTGAAAAGGGCTCTCCCTCCCCATGCCGGGCCCTCTGAATGGCCCTTTTCTTCTGCCACTGAAAGTGTATGAGGTAGAGCAGGCAAACTGCAAAGGTAACTAGGCTCTTTCTCCTCAGGCTTTCTCACTAAAGCCTGAACACACAATGGTTCATTTAAGCATTCAGCCACACAAACCCCAATAAAGCACATCCAAGCGCAGTTAAGGGGGTTACTGAAACTGACTCTGGGTTTAAAACTCCTTCTTTATGAAGGGAGAGCACCTTTTTATAGGCTAATGCTCTCAGCCTCCATGGGAGTAGCTAATCATTAAGCTGCCTTAACAGAGGTGGGAGTGTGGTCGTACATCACATAATTTTAATTCCGCCAAATGGTCAGCTGAGGACAGGCCTTTTCCCACCCTGATGGAAAGGAAGCTTAACTGAAACAAAACTTTTTTTCCAGACACTTAAATAAAAGAAAACAAGAAAAAAAAAGGAAAAAAAAAAAAAAGGCAACCTCTAACTACATGGGGTACAAAATCAATTTTGGGTTTCTAGGTTTGACCGTGAAATCCACAGATGTCTGGGAGATAGCTGCCATGTGCATCATGCTTTACATCTGCCAGCACCAGTCCCTCACTTGTCACCTGTTGTCTAATTCTTTAGTCACCTCCGCCGCTTCTCACCAACTCTCTCAACCACCCCACCCCCTTTCGACTCCACAGGGAACATGGAGCCCACAGTTTAAGGGGTCAGAGAGGAATGGAAGGAGAGAAGGAGGGAGCAGAGCAGCAGCTCCAACCCTCCCTTGTCCTCCACTCTTCCCCTGTCATTGAACAGACTTAAACACAAACACAATTGGACATGCTGGAAGCCTCACAATGGCACAGAGGGGGGAAAGTGAAGTCATACTCTAGGCACGCATGGGTGCCTAGGTCAGGGGGCAATCAACAGCACCCCTGGCTACTGTGTCTTAACCCCCTCCCTCCGAAATAAAGAACAAGCTCGAGAAAGGAGGAGTGAGAGGGAAGAGACAGAGCGAGAGCGGAGGCGGGGGGATTTTCTTCTTACTTGGCACTTTCAAATAAGGCTGCTGAGGAAGTTGGTGAAAAGCAGTGAGATAAATGAAAAATTTCCTCCTCTGCTAAACTCTTCACACAACAGGGGTGGACCTTTTAAATGTAAACAGATGTCTTTTAAAATGCAGAAGTGGCATGTGGAGCTACAGAGCCAATCCCCACCTCCTTCACTATAGCTCCAAACATTGCTTGTTTCACAGCACAAACTGTAGCAACAGCTAAACCATTGTTTTTTATTGTTCTCCCACAAACATACAGCATGTGGTTGTATTCAATGGTTTCTAGACAGGGTGAGAGAGTCCAGGACACTAAGCATAGTTTAAGTATAGTTTTACCAGGCCAATAAACATGCTCTTCAACATTACATGAGTTGCTGCCAAGTGCCAAGCCCACAACCTCATTCTCCTGATTTGATGGATGATTCATCAAGGTGCAAAAGTGAGTACGCCTCAGAAAGAGAGGGAGAGGAAGGGAGGAATGCAGGGGGAGAGAAGAGAGGAAGACAGATTAAGGGATGAGACAAATGACCCGTGTGATATTGTCAAATAAACAGAAATCCTAGCTACCTGTGCGCACACTCGTTTCAAAGTATTTCCCTGGCACTGTTCTGAAAACATAGAGAGCACCTCGCGAGCACGGGCACAAAGCTGTCCCAGCACAGCCCTGTTTATTTTTGCAAAGAATGTTAATACCGGGCACATTCCTCTATTCCCAAATTGCTGTGTTAAATTACCGTTGCAGGGAACGACTGCTATTCCTGAGGGGAGCTGACTGGTGAGAAGCGACAAAGGAAGCTATAGTATCCCGCCGATTGCAAACACCTGTCGTCCTGCAGGCTGTTAACACCTCTCTGTTTACAGCAGGGAATGGAGCTCACCTTGATCTCAGCTCCCCCTGCTAGCCAGGAACCTGGCAAAGTCACTGACCATAACAAGCTGGGCACAACTTGAGGTCTTCCTTAATTATAAGAGCACAGGCAATGGGCTCTTATAATTAAGGAGAGACAGCAGCTCTTATTCAAACTTGCTATGACGAAAACCAAGGCTGTGACAACACCGGCCTCCAACTTCATTTAACTTCACTGAGGAATACCTCTCAGTTTATTCACATGACAGATCACCTGTCTTGTCAGAAGGTGGTAGGAAGTGAGGACTTAAAAGCAGACCTTGACAGCACTTTGAAGTAAATGCAAATGAGGCAAAGCAACAGGGAACACATCTGTTTGGTTACGGATGTGACTTTAAATATCAATAGGGCTGTGTCATTACTGAGAAACGTTTAATAAAACCCTCTTAAGTTAAAGTGAGGAGGACAAAAGCAACAAAAGACAAGTAGATATCCTGTAAAAAGCAATAAAAAAAGACTCCCTTCCTCCCACAAGGCTGAGAAATATCCACACCTGGACAGCAGAACCGTTATCTAAGGTGTGTCCACACCTTGCATGTGTCATTCCGGGAATTAAAAAACGCACAGATGAACACACACTATTGAAAAGATTTCAAAAGTGACAATGGAAAACATTAAAAGCGCCGATTGGTGGGGAAAAAAACATGCCACTCTCCACATCACTCATCAGGTATCCACAGAAAATTCACACGACAGCCAGCCCGCAACACACAACACCGTTTGGTCGCATTTTTCCACCCACGAAGTACCGTTTTTAGCACCACATGAGCAATCGGCGCTTACTAAGTGAAATAACACCGAAATTCCTGCATTACCTCAGTTCCTTTAAGCTACACTGGGTGGCACAGGCCAACACATGAGCAGGACTAGTTGATATGGACGCCACATGTTGTTAGAGCCGCGACAAAACAACTTGTTTTCTCAAAGTAAAAAAAAAAAAAGAAAGAAAAGAAACGAAAAGAAAAAACTCTTGAAGGGTAAACGGATTCGCAACAAATCTAAACAGCAGATGAATGAACCTCAACAACTCGCAGAAGTCTATATTAAACAAAACTGACATTTACATGCTTGAAAATAAAAAAAAGAGAAATATGTTAACACGGCAGCCGTGGAGCATTAAAAGGCGGCTACTTTGCAACCATATAAACGACATTTTCACAAGACAATAAGGTGCGCGAAACCCCGAGAGTCTCAAACCGAAATTCTAAAACGTAGGCAAAATGATGTAGCCATGTAAAATGTTGTGGTAAGCTGTGAGCTCTGTTAAAACACGGACACGGAGCAGAGACGGAGCAGAGACTGTCGCGTCCGACCAGAATCAGGATTCCCAGCGCGCGACAGGAGAGGATCCGCTGTCCTTATATGGGCTGCGCTCGCGCTGCTCACACAAACAGCGCGTGAGATATTCCCCGTTCCCCGGAACCTCGGTTAGCTCATCACATCCATGTTCCTACCGGGCCGTCCGCTGTCCGCCACACCGAACATTTACCGACAACAACGTGAGCGGCGCCCTGCCAAAACACTCCGATAAGTTACAGGAGGATGGAAAAACGCAACTGTTCACAACGTGCTTCAACACAGCAGCGCACGTTTCTTCTGTTTTCTGCCTTAAAACACGCGAACGGCTCCGTCTGTGACATAAAAGTAATTTAAAGCAAACAACAGGCGGATTTAAATGAGGCTAAATGTGAGCCCTCGTAGTGCAGCAACAGTGTCCTGTCGCTACCTGCTACGAGTGAGCAAAAGAAAGAGCAAACAGTTGTGTTCTCTGTTTCACACATGTAAACAACGTTTCCGACTAAAGCTCAGCTTTATTTTATGTTTTATTCAACCAAACCAGTTAAAAACTGTCCGCCAACGTCCGCAACTACTACCAGGTAGCCCGCTTCCCCGCAGAAACAGGTCCGAGTTTAAGTGGTGGCTCAGAAACTCGACAGAATGAAATTAAATCAATGAATGCTGAGTCTATAAACAGGGTCAAAGTGTGTTCAAATAAATAAAGCGGTGCAAAGTGGAGACAAAAGCGGCTCCACTCACACCACAGTGAGGTGCGTATAACGGTCTCCGGTGCAGCGGACCGCTAGGCGGAGGAGAGACGCGACCCAGGTATAACGGTACACCACATAGGGCTGGAATACAGCGCTCACTTGCTACTTCCCAGCACTTTCAGTTACTAAAAACCGGACTTCTGGGCTGCCAAACTTTTGGATAAAATTACCGGCAGACAGAACAGCCTCCGGACCGTTTCCCCGAAAGGAAAGGTCCGCTTCCGAAGTAGTTTTACTCACCGTTGGTCCTCCTCGGGTTCGCCTGCTTTCTGCGCTTACACCTGGGGCCATCCGCCATGATCCTTTCGTTGTGTCTAAATGCTGCCGGAGAGTCACCTCCTCTCTCACCCCCTCTCCCCCTCCTCCTCCTCCTCCCTCCCCTTCACCTCCCCTTCTCCGCACCTGGTTTACGACACTCAGCTTTACGACATCACCTTCCCGCACCTCCCCGACCCACGCTGCCTGTACCGAGCACGGAGAGCCAGCGGAGAGAGGGGAGGACCGGACGGAGCTCGGCCGTACCTGCGCTGCTCCTGTTACCGTGTGTTCAGAGCAGATCGCTGCTGGTTGTGCCTGTCGGTGTACAGCACTCATTAGAAGGTGTAGGCCAACGTGATAGTGTTAGTGACTGTGCTAGTTTGAATTATCTGGAACAAACTACCCACTCTACTCCTGGAGGAAAAAAAATAATGATCTCTATTCAGGGGATTGTTCCACTTTGTGTGGTACTTTAGCATAATAAAGGTTCTTTATTTATATTAGAGTTATTTCGTTTGGTAGCAGGTAAAAAAAAATAAATAAATACAGCTGCACCTGAGAACTGTTTCATACATTTCAAAAAATGTGAGAAATGACTAAAACAATTTCCAAATCCATCCACTGCCATCATGTAACATGTTGTTCTGTCTGATAAACAGTCCAGAACCCCAAAATATCAAATGTTTTATAATAGAAGGGATCCAGAAATGCTGCAAGTTCTTACTTTTGTTTTGTTTTGCTTAAAAATAGTTTAAACAGTTACAGGTCCTATTATCAAGATAGAACCAAACAAATATTTTGAAAATGGTTTGTTAAAGAACCTATTTTGCAGAAGTTTTGCAGATGGCGCCTCAAGGAACTATTTTTACATGATTCTATGACGCACCTTTGGGGTTCTTAAGGATAAAAGGTTGTTTGTGGTACTAAAAATGGTTCTTCTATGGCATCACTGCAAGGACACGTTTTTGGTTGCAGTAAACATCTTTAGTTTTCTAATTTTTACCACATTTTTTGTTTGTTTTTATCATGCAAGTTGGAGTTTTTTTTAAATTTAATGTGGTTTATTTTTTTGTCCAGAAATAATTTTTGGTAAGGTGCTGTACTTTATGCTAATGTAGTGCCGACACACACATTACAAAACATCATTAGTGCACATGATGTCAAGAAAACAACTTTAAATATGACATTTTTCCTCAACGTTGTGTTTTAATGTATGTGTTCCTGTGTGTGTGAAGCACAGCAGCAGCGTAGCAGACAGAGCATGTGTGTGTTAGAAGAAGAGGTCATGAGACTGTCATCACTGATTCAATCCTCCACCTAAAGAAAGACCCTGCTGTTCTCCCGAGCCGAGCTCACTGCAGCGGTGATGAAGAGGACGCGGACATGCCAGCACAATCAGCAGGTTCAGACTGCATCCAATCAGACCCAAACCTTCACACACAAACACAGACACACCGCTTATCACACTAAGCTCTGCGTAAATAGAAATGAAAAATCCCGGATCACATGTTTGAGGTGAATTCTACTGGATGCTTGTAGTGACGGGAAAGATGAAGTTTATAAACTCGGCAGGGAATGAAGTGATGCTTGAGGTCCCATGACTTGCAATTATAGGTCAGGGGAGCTGCAGTTGCTGCGAGGCTGTGGGCTATTCTCGAAGCAGATGACTATAAGGTTTCTGCTGCCTGGATCTCTGGTATGTAAGATGTTGTCATCATTCAGTCTATCGCGGCAGCTAGACTGTGTAACCCAGTTTTGCCTCAATTTGGGTGTCCTGTATTGCGAGGACGGACTGTTTAATGGGAGCGTGACATCTTGTAATCACTGGAAATGATTTAAAGAGCAGAGAGAAAGTACCACTTTGGAAGATATATTTGGATTACACTTCCTCGATTTCATCGTTTAACCATACACAGCATTTTATGTTACAAGCTCGATATAAATCTCCCGTGTAAAGTATTTACAGACACAAGGCAACAAACTCCTCATTGCCGGACAATCAGCTTATCATTCAGCTACATGTGACAGCTTGTATACATAGGATGGCAGATCTCAGGGGTGAATAATTCAGTAGCAGCAGAGCGGTCCAGCTCTCAGGGCAGGCTGCCCAGACACACAGTAATAGCTTTAGCATAAACAACACCTCCAAACTTGCTCCAGGTGGCCTCTTCCACCAATAGACAGGCTGCCTGACAGCAGCATGGTGAGGGGAGAGCGCCCAGCTCTCGCCCTCTCCCTCCCTCTCGCTATACCTTTCCTGATGAAAAAGGCCCCAGAAACAGTCTGCATCAGCAAAGATCAATGATGAGACGCTCAGCTAACCGTGCGGTCGTAGCGGTGTTCCCTGCACACCGAGCCTGGAAAAATAGGATGCTTGTTATCCAATGGAAAGTCAGATCTTTCCCATTTTCCTTGGATCACGCTGCTATTAGCATGAAGTCATTTTTCAGCGTCTGTGGAAAACAAAGAATAACAATTATACGACCACTACTAATACGAAATAGCCTGAAGACATCTCTGATGTGTTTCAGAGCAACTGGAGTAAAACGGTGATTTATTTTCTCTGGCGAATCTCTGTGTATTTTGTACCGGAGCAAATTCATACACCGACCAATGGGAAATACACGCCGCTGGTTATGTTGTTAGAAACATGTAGGTGCCCTGCTGACCCCTCTATGATTTGGATGAATGTGGGGTCAGAGAGGGCAATTACAAGACATAGATCTAATTTTACAAAAACAACCAGCTCCCACTAAAAATAATACCTCGGCTTATAAAGACAGATGCAGTTTTTATCAGGAAGACCCTGCAAATCCCCCCCGAAGACGACATACAGGTGCTATTCACCTGAATAATGACATCAGCAATAAAAGCGAGATATTGTCTTAACTAAAGTGGGCCATGAAATGAAATGAAAGGCTGACTCTTGCTCTTCCAATGGGGAGTTAAAACAGAGGAGAGGAGGGGGGGAAAGAGTGAAGGATAAGCAGCCATCCTCCACTACATTAAGGGATCATGCTGCTCCCTGAAAATGAGTATTGATCCTCTTAGGTCCAGGATCGTTTAGGAGATTAATGCGAGTAGTGGTTGAGCTCCATGGTGCTCCACGCAGGAGCAGGGGATCAGCTCTGTGGGACGGCCGAGCCGGAGCAGCCTATCGGTGAGTGGGGACAGAGGGGCCGGGGGGCGGTGGAAGAGGAGGGGGCACATCCCCGCTACCTCTGTGCCATCTGGGCTGTCAGCGAAGAGAATCAGCTGGATGTCCAGAGGTCGGAGGAGTGCAAAACAAAAGAATAAAAAATAAAAAAGCTGGGAGCGAGGGGTGTAAAACAGAAACAGTCTGGGGGAAAGCGAAAGAGTTCAGAGTGTCACCGGCAGGGAGGATGGATGGAAAGAAAACGGGTGAGCGAAGGAGCTGAGGAAACGAGAGTAGAAGAGAGGAACAGAAAGCGCAAAAAGGAGGACGACGGAAAAGGTACACCCTGCCCTGCTCCAAATAGAGAGGAGAAGCAGGAGGCAGTGGCAGTGATAGAGAGAGACACAGCAAAGACTAAACTGCTTAATCTCTCCCAAGAGACGGCAGCTAAATGTGAGGTCCTCCTCCCCTTTTCGCAGACCACCAACCCCCACACAACACTATCACTGCCATTCTGCTCAGCTGCAGCCAAGACTGTTACCCAGCTAAAAGATACACACTCGCACACACACTCACACACACACACGGAGGGTAAAAGTGCTCAGGTGGAGCCTTCAGTGCAACTGATACTGTGGAGATGAGAAAAGATCAATTTCAGCCTACAAGTGAAGCACCGCACTACACAGCCAGAGCTGAGGCAACGAGCAGAGTTCGGAGGAAAAGCCAGTTTTTGATTTATAAAAGCTGCTGCTTTTAACGGTCTGGCTCACAGCAAATAAACAGATCTCACTGCAAGCCTGAGAATTTTCTCATGTCTCTCTCTTGAGGTCAAGTCGGCCCCATGGGGAAACTCCTAAAACAAATATCAGCTCAAGTATTCAGCAGTAGCTGAATGCGAGCTGTCACACTCTGTAACCTAACAATGCACTGTTTTGAGGACTAGATGTCAATCTCGACTCACTTCCGTCTTCCTCCATGGATTTTTTTTCCTCAAGACGGGAAGTAGCTGACAGGCTTGCTGGAGTGAGCCACACCTCAGATATCGGAGTTGGGAGAAAGGTGAGCAGGACAGAAACACAACACAGAAAACTGACATTTGAATAAGCTTCCTCTGTTAAAGGGGCCCTCCACTTATTCTGACCGGCTCAGTGCACTTATCATGGAGGACGAATCAGCCTGTGAATACTGATGGACAGTTTGTTTTGTAGCTAAAATAAAAACCTTGATGGAGTTTCTTAACAGGATGCCTGCATTAGAAGAGGAGAGGTTTGAAAGAGCTGAGCATTCATTGGTAATTGAACTTAGCACATTTACTCAGTTACCGACTCAGGTACACAGTGGAGGTATTTTAGTTTAGTTCCATTTCGTGCCACTTTGTACCTTTGCTTTCCTACAGTTCAGACAGAAAGGTTACAATGTGTGCACCATATACTGAAGGTATTTAGAGAAACTATAGGTACTATTTACGGATGAAGATTTTACACACAGAAGACACAATGCGTTCAGAGATTATTATTCATTGTTATTTAAAAAAATATCTACGTCTATATAAACTGGCTTAAAAGAAATCTAGCCCTACCTTAACAAAATACTAAATATAATGTAGTCATTATTCTGCAGGGATATTTCTATGCATTAAACACTTTTACCTTTGATACTGAAGTTTCTCAAAAAGACAAATCTTCTTAAGTAACATTTCTATTGTGGGAGTTTTACTGTTTTTACACCAGGATCTGAGCACTTCCTCCCCGTGTATTCCTCTACCAGACAGGGAGGGTCTAAGATGCTATCAAACTGCATCATAGGAAGTGTAGGATTTATTCTTTCTGACCCTTCTGAACCAAAAGTCCTGCTTTGATTCTGACCTCTTTAAGACGCTTTATGGAGAGGCAGATATGGAGTTCTGAGGGGGACCACAGACCAGCCAGCCAATCAGCACCTTGATGAGTTTCTGTAGCAGCAGACTAAAGTTTCTCAAAGTCTGAGAGGCCTGCGCAGTTACATAACTTACACTCCCTAATAAACACCCATGTCTTTTATTTCAGTTTCTAATGCTGTCTGGCTTTTTGATAAACTACAATTGTTTGACCACGGCGGCCATCATGGCAAAAATATATTTTCTCAGTCTTCTCTCAGACTTTACAAAGCTCCTCCAGAGCCATAGAAAACATGATAGAACTGTTTTCACAGGCTGAATTGTACTCGCCATTACAAATAAACTGATTTTCACTTGTAAAATCAGTGCAGCGCACCTTTAATCTGAGGAGAAACCGGAGGGAACTGAGCTATAAAAATTTCCTTTATTGTATTTCCTTTCTTTCTCAAAAAAGTCAGGATTAGATAATAACTCTGAGGGAGGATTAGTGTGCACCGGGGGTGAGGAGGGCCCCTCGCAGACTCAGACTCCCCCACACTCATGATTCCAGAGGGGTGGGTGGCCACGGGGCAGAGAGCTTCTGACCTGCGGGTGAACGTAACGCTGCCTGTCTACACAGCAGGCCAAGATATATACTTGTTTTGGCTAGGGAGACGTGTGTGTGAACATATCCTCACACATGCATGCACGTACACATGAATGCACTCGCAGCACCTCAGCGCTCCAGACAGGCTTGCCCCAGTCTTCTTCCTCCTCTTGGGACTGTCAAACGGAGACAGCCATCCTCTGGAAAGCCCAGTTTAAATTTATACTGTATTTATTGGAGCTCCTGTTGCATTTTACTGTTCATTTGTCCTTGCGGCTGGAACAGCGCTTGTGCTCTCTGTGAAGACGTCAAACTTGGTCTATCAAGGTGCTGTTTTTGGAAGCATCTTCTCTCATAGTTAAAACAGGTCTGTGGTGAGTAATACATGACAATTGAGGTGTACTGCAGTGACAAGATGCTATCAAGCTGGTGATGCAGCAAAGATATGTTCTGCAGACTCTGTTCTGCTCTGTCTAGAAAAAGACTGATAGTTTTTATCTGTTTGGAATTGTTACTTTTGTTTTACAAAAGGATTCTTAACTGCCAAAAAAGAAAAGAAAATGCAGAATGAGACGTATCCATGAAAGTGGTTTCAGTCTCATGACGGTAAGTATAGATATGACTGTATGGCTGCGTCCACACTACTAGTTTTAGAACTTTTAAAATACAGATTTTCAAAATGCTGCGAATGCCATTTCAATTTGAAAACTCTGGCATTGTATTTTAGTCTAGACAGGCAAGTACGTATACTTTTGGAAACAACGACACAGACGCCCATGTTTGCTTCCTGGCTTCAGCCTCATCAATCACTACGTGTCCTTCCCTGATTGGTCACTTCCCTGTCACATGACCCTTTTCCAGGAGCCTTGTTTACCAGTAGGTAGTTCAATATGGATGGTGAGTTCCAGCTGTTGCTGACCTTGTTGTCTGTGCTTGCAGCAGTTGTGCAGTTAGATTTAACATTTCATCATCAAGCTTTTATTCAAGTTAATGGTCACATGGTATGCATTTTTTTTTTAGGTCTGTAAGCATGGACAGAGATTATTTCTGAAACTGTGCTAAAATGCTCATCTGTATGGAGATTGTTTTGTTTTCAGATGAGTGGTGTGGACGTAGCCTTTGGTGGTGCTGAAGAGGTTAAAAGGTACAGAACTACTTTCTATAGAAGAAACTACGAGTATGCTCTGTGTAACATGTGGAGCAATAGTGACATTTGTCTGAGCTGCTGTTGATCGTTGTTTTAAAAGCCGACTCTTTTTGCTTGACAAGTATATGAAGGCTCAGCTGATATATGTCATGGTACAAAACAGCACATTGATAAGAAAACATCAGAACACGTTTAGCATCCATCTGGAGTCGTGTTTCACTCCATCTGCTGAGTCCAATAATTGTTCTTCTTTTAGCTCTGCTTTGGTCTCCATCAACTTCTGAGAAAGAAATCTGACTCTTTAGCTGCTAAACGCTCCACCATGGTTGCAGCAGTTGAGCCTTTTCTCAGACAACTGTTGCCTGTTGTCACAGGAAAAGGGTTGATGACAACAAAATAATGTGTTAAAAGAAGTGTGAAGAAACTCTGTAGATGCAGCTCGGGGAAGAAGCAGTGTTGCAAAAAGATTTCTATGGAATGAAGAGTGTCTCTCTTCACTACTTCACATAGTCATATGATCCATTGTTGCTATAAACATATTGAATGGTGCAGCTTAAATGTAATTTTTCAACACTTTGAGGACTACAGATTTATATTTACTACAATTTTACAAGCAAAACGGTGAATACTAACCTTGATCAAACATCAGCAATGTTTTTATTTAGAATACTCTCCGGCTCTTCCTCCCCTCACATCAACAGAATTACATGTGGCAGCCCCTACATATAATGATGCTCACCTCTTATTGATGAATATTTTGTGACCTTTTACACCCAGTTATTCTGCGTCATTCCTACCCGATGATATGAATCTATGTTAGGTTTTTATTACAAGGAAGCACATCTGAGACTTTGTAGTTATATAGGTACAATGGCGAAGCTCTATGAGTAAATAGTGCGTAGGTGGTTTATGTTTGTGTGTGCGCTTATGTTTCAATCTGTGATAGGCCACTGCTGTTTTCACTGGATGAATATGAATACCACACACCTACTCCTTTCCCACACGCACTTACAGAACATCAGAACATTTTTCTCTGCTTATGAATAGCGGCGGAGCACTATAAATGAACATCCAAAATGCCAGCAATTACTATGGTGTCCCTTTACTCAACCTCTCCATATTAAGCCCTGGTTGTCAAACAGATTGTCTCCGGTGCTCCGAGCAGCCTGCGCTGTGAAACAGTTTTCATTAAGGGAGGATTGCCATGGGCCTTAGCCTGGCGGCTTAATGTAATTTCACAGCTCAGCGTCCGTGCGACCACTTCAGGGTCCAACCATGGCCACCCACACCTTTACAAGAGCCAGCGAGAGGTGCTGAAAGGGTGACGGGCTGCTGGTTAGTTTTAGGAGCGAAAGGGGAGCCCCAAAATGAAATTCCAGCACAGGAAATGACTGCAATAATAACATAACAACCAGGAAGGCTTTAGAAATAAACATGTACAGAGATAGCACTCATTTAATGTTTGTAATGAAGTGTTCAGGATGAGGAAACTCACTCAGCAGTGGATGCAGTCAGCACTCTGATGTGGAAAGGTTTGAAGAAATCAAGTGGGATTTTTGTAGTTATATTATGGAAATTATCTATGATGCATTGCGAGATCTGGTCGAACACTGAATTACTCTAAAGCCTTTCCTGGCAGGACTTGAAAGGACAGTATTCTGTATAGAATAGGCACAATGCTCATACTAGGCCTAAGCATCTCTGTGGGGGGGAATTGATGTATATATATGGATATATAGATGATTAGAGTGGTGTTTGTCAAGAAGGGAGCAAATCACTACGTATAGAATATCAGCCTTTAAGGTGTGCTCACACGTGTGCAGACTTAAACACATGTAGTTTAACCTGTGTCTTCACCCTGATCACCTCTTGAGTATTTACCCCAAAGGTGTAAGCCAAGCGTGCAGCAAGAGTCCCTATTAGAAACATGTGGAGAGCATTGCACATCAAAACTCCATGTGACATCTGGACAACACTGAATGTAAGATAGACTAGTGTTTCATTTTCATGTTTTACAGCTTTGGAAAGAGCACGAGGGCCGTGACTTCAATGCTTTGGACAGCAGAAGAGCAACACAGCCAGGCAGAGGTTAGGCTGTTGGAAACCTTAAATACAAACACACACACACACAAATGCTAGGACACACACACTGAACACAGCCAGACAATCCAACAAGAAGACAGAAAATGTTTAATGCAATCGTATCGTCCATCAGTTCTTTGTTTTCCTATAGTTCTCTTTGTCCCTTACACCCATTCATTTTGTGTCACATATGAATCATGCATTTATTTGTGAGAGTAAAATCAACATAAACACTACGTTGATATGTCAGTAGTGATTTTTTGTTCAGATTAATTAAATGAGATTAAACAGCTTAATTACTGAGCTTTGTGTCTTTTAGAGAAGCAAAATGTTTGCAGCAAATTTGTGGGTGATTTGCCAAACAGTGTTGTCACAAGATCGCCTGTATTGGTGACTACTGACGAACTTCCAGCAGCATTCTGGCAATAACAAGAAGTTTGCCACCACTTAGTCGTAAATAGTGCTGCGCTTCTAGGAAAGTTCTCGTAACAAATTTGCCAGGCACACATGTCAGTTTATAATTGATATGAACAGCATTTCTGGCAATAATGGTATTATTCATAGTTTTCTGGCAAACACTTTGTAACCTTTGTCAATGTTGCCAGAAATTTGCAGCAAGGTCACATTTTCATATGCAAATTAGATTTGTGGCCAACTTGCAGTGCACTTCTGACTAACTTAGTGGAAAACTTATCGCCGGTTGGCAGCATGTTTGCCGTGAAGTCATACTCATGTAGTCTTTAATAGTAAGATAGATTTTCTAGGTATTTTCATTGTGGCACAGTGATTTACACTATTGTTACAAAACAAGTTAGTGGCTTTGCTGGCCAGCTGGTCTCCATGTGCCTGCATTGGTTTCCTGAAATTCTTCTGAGGGCTGGTAAACAGATTGTTTAACCTTCAGACAAATGTGTGCCCCAATTTGCAGTCTCACTAAGCTGAGCTAACTGATTGCTGGCTTCATATTTAACCAATATATCTAATGTGAAAGAAAGCAATGTTTATTTTCCAAAATATAATACCATTCTTTTATATATGAAGCTGGAATCAGGAGATCATTAGCCTAGCTTAGCATGAATAGGAAAAAGCTTAAAAAGACTGCCACCAGCACTCCCATTGCTCAATAATGAACACATTCTGTCTTTAATCTATCCAGAAACAGAAATATAAAAATAATGTGATAGCATACAGCTGTATCGTGACAAACAACAATTCAATTTTTTACTCAGCACTGCTTTGTAGCATCGATGGCTAGCTTGTCAAATGCAGTAGTGAGTTGCATTGGTCTTTACTGTAATGACAAGACTTTGGGTTTCTGTTTTTACCTTTTTCTCACTATGTATGGCTTAAACAACAACAACAACAAAAAAGATTGACTGCCTGAATCACTGAGGTTTAGCTCAATCAGAACTCGGCTAACTCTTCCATCTTCCTTCATTTTACATAATATCTGAGGCTAAAGCTCAAATTTTAGGACGAAAATAGCATTACAGTTTTTTAAAAAATACGTTCATATTTGTCTTTTTTTTGTTGTTGTTTTTTTTTAGCAAGATTCAGAAGAAAAGATCATCCCCACTGTCACATTACTTATTTGATATGTAGCTAGAGTTAGCATGATGGGGTTAGCTTAGTTTAACACAAAGATTGTCAACAAACAGAAACAGCGAGACAAGCTCTGTACAAGGAAAACAAATTCTGCCTCCCAGGATCTCTAAAGCTGACTAAATGACATCTTGTTTGTTTAATTCTTACAAAAACCAAAATGCAAAAATGTCAGGTTGTGGTTTTAGCGTAGAAGTATGTAGTAACCAGGACATCCCCTTTTGACTTGTGGACGGTCATTTTAAAGCATCAAGTTTACCCAACAGAACAGCAAGCTACAGATTTGTGACCATGTCAACAATTACGCCCGAGGTGTGTCAAGCACAGTGGGTAAATGCAGCACAAGACTTCTGTAGAATTTAGAACTTCCTGCTGTATTTGGGCACCGCCAACGGAAAGCATGCAATCCAGCAGCGACAACTTCAATTACAACTCTTATAATGATGAATTAAAATGGTATGTATGACGTGGGAAGCAAATTTTGAGCTGCACATGGATCTAAAAAAAAAAAAAAAAACATGAACTGGCTCAACTCAAGGATGCTAACTAGGCCAATATGGTAATGACCTGTCAATCATAGGTGGCCTTTCCCAAAAACATTCTCTGCTTTGTTGTCTATTATCTTAAAAATAGGACTATAATTTACAAAAGGAATACATTGTTGTATTCAAAGTGTCTTGAAACTAGCACTAGAGACAATAAACTCATTTGGAGAATGCTAACTAATATAACATATCAAGTGAGAAATCAGGTTATTTTGTTACAGACTCATACGGTGTCAGACTTCTCTTTTGCACCATAGGAGTAGCTCCCTGCTGGCTATTGGAAAGAATGCAGCTTTAAGCCACTTCAAACCTAGCATTTTCATTTATCTCTTATAAAAATCTATGAAATGTAGGTGTTTTCCCATTTCTAGTCTTTGAACAAAGCTTAGATAAAGCTGCAGCTGGAGCTTCACATTTACAGAACCGACCTGAGTGTGTTATCTTCTGGTCTCACTCCCGTTTTTGAGTATTTCCCAAAATGTTGACCTGCTCCTTTGATGTGGCGTCTTCGTAAACACCCCAGGCTGCCGTGCAAAATGACCACAAGGCCACACATACTGGGATGTGACTTTCAGAATGCCAGGCAATTTTCACCCAGGGCAGCTCCACCATCTGCTCATAGGTTACAGCACCAAACGCATCTCATCCCCGAAGTAATAAGGTTCTTTTAAATAAAAGAACAAACAGTACAGGGATACGCTTTGGAAATGACAAGAAGTCGTAGCTAACACAATGGAACACATGAGTCAAGAACGACAATCAGCCCAACCCTCACATCATGAGTCACAAGCAAGAGACGCTCATGCTTATTCAGTGTGTCCATTGAGGTGTGCAGCCTCTTCATTTAATATTTCCATAAGGTTGCATATGAGTGTACGCCAGGCAGTCCCTGTAATAAGGAGGTAATGTATTCTGCGCCAATGGCAAAAAGGTACGCTTGAAACATCCCTCACAGGAGCAGCAGTTTTCAACTTGACAGTGGACACATACATAATTAAGCCAACTAAAAAAATGAATATTTCATCTCAAAGCATTTTCATCTCCAAACATCAAAACACCTCAACGTCTCACATAATGAGCAAGGTAAATTACTTTTATTCACAGAGGGAATATGCAAGGAGGAATGCTCAGTCAGAGTACCTTGCTTAAAAAATATATCAGCTAGAGAAGAAGGGAGAGAACTTATACCCCTCATTTTTGTATTTTGCCTGAATTCTTTGCGTCCTCAGAGGAACTAATTGTTTTAACTTGCATAAAGATCTAATTCTTTCCTACAAATGTTTGCCTAACCCTTTTTTTCCTTAACTGCAATTGTGTTATTATATTATATTACAATGTCAGCCTTAATGCTCTGTAGGCTGATCTGGCTATAACTCACTCTGACCTGTAATTCATGACATGTCATCCATGAGTGGCCTCAGGACTTTTTGGGTTTGCAGATTTGAATGCACATGCCAATGAAGAGCATAACTTATTCCATAACCTTGCAGTAGTTGAATTTTACTAGTGTGGTCTATGTAAGCGTAGCTTTTGCCAAAATTTCTCCATTTCTCTGATGGCACAGACGTTCTGAAATGCATGAGCTTCCAAAGAATATGTCATAAATCATTGTGCAGTGGTTTCAGATGGCTGTGTGGTACGGAGGGAGGGGGGGGGAGGAAAGTAGTTGCTGTGCACAGAGCGAGAGCAGCACCACCACGCTGGAGAGAATTACTTTGACCGTCAAACCTGACTCAGACTGCCTCCCTGTACACCTTCATAGATGGGAATTAACCTGCCACAGCTTGAAACGCTTTACTGAGCGCTGGTCGATACTGTCATTATCCTAAAGCAATTCTTAATTCTATTTGGCCCTGAGCTAAAGATCCTTGTATTGATCACAAAGTAGGGATGCCACAACTACTTTTTTCTATAGTTAAGACCTCTGCGTGTTGTTGAAAAAGTCCTCAGCTCGCATACATAGTCCACAGCTCAGCGCTCAGCCACACACGTGCTGCCGAAGAACAGACTGTCACTTTGGATGTTTGAACATGTGTTTCAGAGTGATACCTGAGGATTTAATCAAGCAGTACTGTCATGAGACAAAAATGCTAGTGAGTGGTACCTCGGTGTTTCATCAAGGGTAGCAGAAAAAGGCAGCTCTCTTTCATATCCTGTTTTGGGAGATGAGAAATATTGATATTACTTGCCGAGCACTATCAGCGTGGAACAGAGGCTTTCAGTAAAGCAGCAGTGACAACACCTGTACTGAAGTTCCTGATTACACGTCTTTGTTCTTGACGCTTCTGCCTCTGCCTCTCAGTGTTTGTGTGAGAGTGTGTGTGTGTGGGTGTGTGTGTGTGTGATCGAGACAAACAAAGAGACAGAAAAAAAGGAGAAGTAAAATAGCATGTAGCTGAATGCATCATTTTCCGTCTCTGTCCGTCATCCAGACACACAAACATACAGAGAAAGAGAGCATCGCCACCTGCCACAGACTATACACTGTGGCCTGTGACAGTGGTTAACAAAACAGGACATGTGTAGCCCCAGGTGACTCAAATTGCAAAACTAACAACACCATGCTTCATTGCACCAAGAACGCGGTGTGAAACACCAGTGAAAAGGTTGTGTGTGTGTGTGTGTGTGTGTGTGTGTTTGTCAATTTACATGTATGTCTAAATGTGTGTTTCTGCTTATGCATTTGTGTCATAACTGATTCATTCTATAATGTAGTCCAGCAATTAATATGGACTTCATTAAGATTCTTAAAGCAGCCTGAAGCATAAACAAGTAGGTGACGCTGAAATATTGTGAGCATTACGATTGTACGTGTTATTCTTTCTTCTATTGTTGCAGTAAGAAATAAAATATCAGTCC